CTACAGTGTAGATCCAGCCAAGGTCATTATTTTGTGTATTGGCACAGTCTCTTTCACACCACTCAGCAGGCTTCCCAGTGGGAACATCCAAACAGTGGGGAACTGAGCCTGTCTGCAGTGGGAAACACCATAGCTCTTTACATGGAAAATCTCCATGTTAAATCTCCCACTGATGACAGCCTGGTCACAACCTCAATACCTCCTCTGGGGGTCTTTCTGTTGCTAATGGTAAAACAAGCTCCAATCACATTAGATCAATCTGGATTTGGGTGCTATGGGGCGTTGGCATTACAATTGGCCATTCCTTTAATCTGGCAGATAATTAAAATGGATCCCTTTAATTGTCAACTTCTGGAACACTGTGTGGGCATCAAGGGAGATGTCTACGGAGAGCCTGTGGCCTTTCTCTCTGTCATACAGCCCAACACACATCCCACGGCTTTGAAAATGATGCCTGACTTAAAGCACCCACCTAGACTATACTGTCCTGTAGTCAGGGGTATGTGTGATGATGATACATGATAATGTGTGAAATTATACAGGTTTTTTTTTCTAGGCTATGAAATGCAGTGAAATTGCTAGTTTTCTTGTAGCTTTTTGTAATGTTAGATTTTTTTTCACACCCTTACAGTTGATTATATGTCTTTCAATATCAGAAATCTATTTTCTATTACATTGTCATTTCATTATACCTCAATTACCTGCGGCTTCATTAATAACTAAAGTGTAACACTACCAGCTAACATTTGTTTTCCCACACTCCTTTGCAAAACCATACGGTTCCCAGGTTTTTATTGCACACAGGCCTCTTGAGTTGACAGGAGCACTCTGTCATCAGCTTGCAGTGCAGACAGTGCAGACTAGAGATCACCCTCCTCCCATGATGGATAGATGGATGGATTTATTGATGGATTGGCTGACTGTTTACTCGGTGTGAGAGCCTTGAGGAGGACGTAATGGGGAGCCAGTGAGGGGGTCAGGGCCGGATCAGACTGCTGGCAGGACTCTCAGCCCAGTCAATGGGACAGTGTTGACACAGAGCTGTGTGTGTGAGAGGGCTCCGTCCCTCCATCCCTGAGCGTCAACGCCACTGTGCCGACCGCCTATGAAAGGCTCCCCCACGGCAGGAATTTCGCACCAGGCTGCCATAAAAGATCAACCGATCAACTCTGGCAAGCAGAGTTGTCCTCTCTCACACACATTCTCACCCTATGGACCAAGTGCCTTCCCTTATCCAGCTTCTCATGTCGTGGGTAGGCACTTTTCAGTGATGTCCAAGAGTGGGAGATGCTATATAAGAAAAGGCCCAGTTGCTCCTAAGATTGTTATCATTGTGGATGGAACACGGTTCATCCCTTGCTGTCTGATAGGAATCAGGTTAGGTATCACACACCTAATGGAGAGAGGATGTCCCAAACTTGAGCCCTCCATCTAAAACTCCTCTTGTTTATACAGTACACCAAAAAATACAACTACATGTTTCCAATTTGACTATGTCTCCCCGTGTATTGGGGGCAGGTAGGGCGGCAGGTAGCCTAGTGGTTAGAGCGTTGGGCCAGTAACCGAAAGAAGATTTAGGCCAAAAACCAGAGTGGAGTTAACAGCCACACCCATCCAATAGGTTAAAGCAGTATTAGGCTATAGCTTGTAAAACTGGTATCACAAATCACCTTGGAGACCACTCTACTTGGGTGTTCCAGGACTAGGTCCAGCCAAAATGGCTCATGAGGGCATCCTAGTTGGGTACTAGTGCCCTACATGGAATCAATGGGCATCATACTGTGCAAATGGGTACAATGTGAAGTTAACATTTTCGAGCATATAAATGGGATTAGATTAAATTCAAAAGAAAAGTATTATCCTTAATAAAAAAAAGAAGATGCTAAAAGCATGATTTTTATTAGTTGAGCAAGATGCAAAATATGCAGGCTATTGTGAACGTTATGAACCTAGTTTATTTCCTCTAGATGACCAGTAATGTTTGGTTCTGACCATTTTCAAACTGCCGAAGGGCTATATTGCAGCTAGTCCGTTATTTTAACCAAGGCTCTGAGATTAAGTTTGTGAGCATACATGTCTAGTAGGCTAACTGACAAATCCAGGACCTGCATTACCAGTGGAATGGGAGTGAATCTATTATTTAAAGACAGACGCTGTCAGACAGTGTCAGGTACTGATCACATCTCCTGCTGAAGATGAACTCTGCCACAGAAACCATGCCGGATAGCAGAGGGGTCACCTCCATCAATAGGCCTAAAACGTGTCCCTGCATTGGCTATTTCTAGACTGCTTTAAACAAACATTTGCCTACAACGATAATGCAATTTATAACACAAAATAATAATAATGCAGTATAATTATTATTACTAATATTATCATTATTAATATTATTGTATATTTTTTTATCATTATCAATATTATGTCTGTATAAAAATTGCTTATAGGCCTACACATAATGTTCATATTTTACTTACGGTATTAATTTATATTCGAAGAAAAACGAATATTAATTCAACACTAGAAATAAATTACAATCTGGCGGGTAGCCGATAATGCACAATGCACTCTCTTGCCAAGATGCATCAATTAGAGATGCTCTCCATCCCTTTTGAAGAGATACATTTTCTTCTCCATGCAAAACTGTCCCCCCCGAACGAATCAGAATTTAATGAAAATAAAAACATACAAATCTATCCACAAAAAGACCACAGGCATGAACAAGGCTCAAGAGAATTTGTCAATTGACATTTTTGAATGCCTACTTCTGGATAGGTTTGTTGCGGTTGGACATTGAAAAGCGACGAGATCCTGGAAGGCAGCAAACTGCTTCCGAAGATCGAAGTCATCACAGCATTTATTTGAAAGCTAACTGTCACTGTTTACTTAGCCACAAAGCGAAGATGTCACTGCCTTGCTAGTTTAGGTGAAAAAAGATAGTTTTACACTGATGATATCGATTTTAATTTTATATTTATTATTATCAACTTTGTATAGAGAGAGACATTTGAAATATTTGTGTAAATGTACGTACCGAGACTAATAGGCCTATAGCCTAATGTAAAGATTGCAAATGTGACCTTGAGGCGTTTACTGTATATGTGTATGTTGTTTGCAGATTATTATCCCACGCATTTTGCACTGATCAATGATGATTATGAGTCGGTCACATTAGGGCAGGGCTGGACGGACGAAACTCAAAATAATTCTGTTTTTTGTTTCTACCTGGGTAGTTAATTGCACTCAACTGGTGTCCCAGGTCTGAATTAGTCCCTTATTAGAAGAAGAGGATGAAACCCAGAAGTGTTTCTGCACATTTACATTTACATTTACATTTTAGTCATTTAGCAGACGCTCTTATCCAGAGCGACTTACAGTTAGTGAGTGCAAACATTATTAAATTTTTATTTTTCATACTGGCCCCCCGTGGGGCGACAGGGGCGGAATTGGGCAGCCCTGCATTAGAGGATACTGTTGGCCCAAAGTGTGGCAAAATGTGGATGAGATTCTAGTCCATTTCACACTTTATTTTTTGTATATTTGAAAGGGGTAAGGGAATAAAAAACACGGTACATTTTGATTTCGATTTTTTTGGGAGTAAATGTTTTAAAATAAAAGTTATAGTTTCTTATTTGTGAACATAATCACAAATTATGAAGGGGCTCTGACATGGGTACAGTTTATCAGTTAGGATCAGTGGTAAGTCACACGTTAAGTGATTTAAGAGCAACACAATGACAGGGGCTACATGTGGGACTAACATCACCATCACTTTCGTTGTGCATTGTTATTTCTCCCTCCCGTGCACTTGTCTATTTTACAGGAGCTATTGTGTGATAATGAAACAAATGTCATGCTTCATATGCAAATTATTTGGTGCTCCGTGGGGTTCAGGGGAGGATTGGTGTGGGACATATAACGGGAAATCATTCGGGAATTGTCATGGTTGCGCTGAGCAAAACGTCCGTTCATTGTATAAAATGTCATGTTAATAATAGGCTAACAAAACTCGTTTTATAAATAATAATACTAATGTGGTTATGTTACGTTTAATAATATGACTAATGCAATATTTTTTATTATTTTTGGTGTGGTGCTTTTTGTTTCGTTTCTTGGTGAAAATGTAAACATTTATCCTAAATGTGTGAAATTGGATAGGCTATATTGTCTTATTGAATAGTATTTAATATTATATATCAGGGATGGGCAATTCCAGTCCTCGGGGCCGGAGTGGTGTTACACTTTTGCCCCATCCAAACACAGCTGATTAAACCAATTGCATTCTAAACTGAAGATCATGTAGTTGATTATTGGAGTCAGGTGTGTTAGCTGAGGCTGGGTCAAAAGTTTGACACCAATCCGGCCCCCGAGGACTGGAGTTTCCCATCCCTGGTATATATAGGGTTATATGCAGTGTAGTGTAGTGTGTGTGTGTGTGTGTGTGTGTGTGTGTATATATATATATATATATATACGTAGGCCTATAAATACAGATACCTTACTTTATTCATTGATGGTGCTTATCTTTCATTGTTTTATATTTGGCTTAATTGCTAGCCTTTCAAAAAATAAAGATGTTTGATGTTTTTAACATTTTGAATCATGCAGTTCTTATGCTGTTTCCATATAATAATGCACACACAAAGGTCATATCAAAAACCATCAAATAATACTTTAATATAGATTTTCGCCAGCTACATGAATACACATCAATAACGTATAAGTTATAAGGGATACACAAACGATATTGGCATAGAGAATGTCTCACAATTTATAACATCAATTTCGGCTGTGCCTGTGAATCCCACAGTTACGCCTTCAAATTCATGTAAAAATGGCTGTATAAAATAATGTATTCCCATATCAACATAATTTGAACGAATTTGACACTGAGACAGTCCCTTCCACGTCCAATGTCCATGAAATGTGACGCATAAAAACTAAAAACTACCAATTTACAAATGTACAAATTGTAATTGCTAGAAAAAGTTAAATAAAAAAAATCAAGACGAGTTCATGATTGGCCTCGAATACACACCTTGGTAGTAAGAAGTGTCTGTGGGTGTTGACATTGAGCCCATGGACAGTGCCCCTGTCATCGGTGAACTATAGCCGTGATACTGCATCATCTGTTCATACGTTTTTAGGTCCATTTTGTGGTGATGCTGCTGCTGCTCAGATGACATTAGATTGTTGATGGAGAAAGGGTGGTTGAATGAATAGTGGTGCTCGGGTTTCAGGTGCGCTTCGTGCACGAGCACCGAGTGTTGTTGAGACGGGAGATGGTGTGTCTGTGGGACAGGAGTGGGCGCGTGCTCCGCGGGGCTCATTACCTGCTGCCGGGGTTTCGGGTCAGAAACGGGCCGTTTGACGTCTTTAACAGACGGGGTAGGATGGGGTGATTCGTTACTGTTACAGCTCTCTGGGCTGCTGTTAGGGCCGCCCTCGGAAGTTTTCCTCCCGGTTTCCCTGCCGAGGTCTTTCTCGCACCTGAACCGCTTTTGCCTCCTGAGATAGCAGCCGTTCTCAAACATATTCCCTGAGTCCGGGTGAAGAGCCCAGAAAGATCCTTTGCCCGGCTTATCCGGGGACCTGGGCACTTTGAGGAAGCAGTCGTTGAAGGATAGAGAGTGGCGGATAGAGTTCTGCCAGCGCTGCTGGTTCTGTCTGTAGAAGGGGAAGAGGTCCTGGATCCACTGGTATAGCTCATTCAACGTCAGCATCTTTGTGGTAGATTGCTGTAAGGCCATGGTGATGAGAGAAATGTAGGAATATGGGGGCTTGGCGTGCGTATAGCTTCTCCGGTATGTTTTGGGTTCCCTTGACCTTATGTTGGACTGTCCATACATGGGGCTCATAGCGCTCATATTACTATAGGAGGTCAGGGCATTCATCGATGGAGACTGGGTGCTTATGGGGCTCATGTTCGGAGTCAGCGCCACGCTCATGCCCGCCATCCCTGCTCCCATACCGTGCATGGCCCCGGAGCCCGGTGACATCCCGGCCATGGAGTGGTTCACACCCGTGTTGACGTATGACATGTTCATAGGACTGCTTGTCATGTTGCTGGTTGAAGTCATTCCAGGAATGCTCATATAGGTGCTCATCGAGTTCATTCCCAGCCCGGTGTGTTGTGTCATGTTTCCAACTGAGGTGTAGCACTGAAAAGAGTGCACAAGGTCAATACTAGCTTTAACAATGTGAAATAACGACTTCTAGTAAAATGGCAACGAAATAATTAGGCCTACATAAATTCGTTGTCACTTAGATAAAAATGTATTTTTCAGTCGGCTAAATATCAGATTTTAGGCTATAAGATGTAACGTCACAATTACGTTCAAGCAGTGAAGTGCATATACATCCTAAAGAATATTCTAAAGTTATTTATTCCAAGTCTGATTACATGGCAAAACGAAAACTATTGAAAAGGGGAAACAGTGGGTCAGCGAATAACCTAATGAGGCGAACGGATCATTGTGTTCACCGTAATAATTCGATAGTCAAAATGAAAATTAGCTATTACGATTAAATCATTAGAAATACATTTCAGATTCAATTCGATTTTCTAAATATTAAATAGCCTATTCAAGTAATATATTTCGTAAATGTTCTTTCCATCCTCACTAGAAATTGGTCAGGATATCAAAAAAAGACCTACTGGGCACACAACGTTGTTTCCATATCATTTCAATGAAATTAGGCTACGTTGAGCCAACTTCGAATAGACGTTGAATTGATGTCTGTGCCCAATGGGGGAGAGATCCGGGAGGATTTGTAGGTGCCTCAAGTCAATATTTGATCAGAAAGTTAATATTATCTCAAGGCTAATATTGAGTTGTATAGGCAGCAAAATACATATATAAACTCTACCCACCTCGGGCTCTCCGTAGTAAGCGCTCCAGTCTGAATGCTCGTGTCCTTCCATTTTAACAGCGCTTAGCATTGTGGACCGTCCAAAACAAATGTCCCTCAAAATCCTCAGTCTCAGCAGAATATGAAGTGAAAAACGGCCCTAAAACCGATTGGGGACCACAGGCAACCCAGGTCGTTGAGTCTGCTTGCTGCCTAGTAACTGGTTCATGGGTATCTTTCTGCCCTGAGTGCCTTCAGACACTGTAAAGCGACTGACGATGACAGGAGTTGTAATGACGTTAGCTCGTCGCCTTGTTGTGGTATAGCAGCACTGCGTTTCGCTGAGCGCTCAACCCTCCAATCCTCACTACTTCAGTGCCCTATTTGAATAATCTGCTCACACCTAGACACGAGACTCCTCCGTTGGCCGTCTATTGTAGCCTACACCTGCGCTGGCTGAAAAGGACAAACCCATTTAAAAGGATCCAATACATCAAATGTGATTGTTTTCCTCCAGAAAAAAAGGACAAGGAATTTTGAATTCTAAGAGGGCTTTTTATTAAGGCTATTCCCTTTCTCTACCTATTGTGTTAACCTTAAGAATGTGATTTGGCATCTTCTGACCAACCGAGTATTATTATTTATCTCAAGGAGTGTGGACCTCACCTCACTTAATTTGTATGCGTTTCACATTTTACAGTTTTAATCAAAAATGTTATCAAAAAATTAGGTCAAAATAAACAAGGCATTTCCTAACCAGTTATTTTCACAAAACCACAATGCTACACCGATATTGATATTGGGACTTTATGGGTATAAAACGCCACTTTAAATACTTATTTAGGCCATAATGATTAACGATTTAGGAATAACATGGGAATGTTTATATTTGAGCAATAAGTACAGGGGTCCATGCATCGATTAAATTCTGCTGTGAGTGAGCGATAAGGTACACAGTAGTGATGACAGCAAAGTACAAATTCGTAGAACGTTGTGTTCCAGCAATTTGCATTTCGAAACATTGCAAACATTTTTGGGTCAACTCGAGGGACTTCATTACATTTTGGATAGTCATCATGCTGATTATTGTGCATAATTATTGTGCATAATTGCCTCTTGAATTATAATTGTTACTGCAACTAATGTAATTGTATTATATTTATTTTATTATACGTCCATTGTGTAATAGAAAATACATCCGTCGGTTACAAATGATTGATCCATCTGTAATGTGAGCTCTAAACTATATTACATTTCAGGCATGTTTTTCCATGAACTAGGCCTATTTAATTTCCCCTGATTTCGTTAGTGGCTGTTTGAAGAATAGAGATTATTCAAACATAGCATAGCACTGTCTATACTCTCTGTCTTTGACCATCATTTTATTGACTTTTGTGAGGGCCTATGTTTGATATGCCGGTTTCAAGAGAAGCAAAGTTTATCTAACGTGTTTGATCACTAGAGACGGAATGGCTTTGCACAGCAATTGCTGATAAAACTAGCTTCGGAAAACAAGGATACTATTGAGGTGATATTAATGGAGCAGTTTAACTGGTAATGTAGTGCACGCGCACAGGCCAGTCTATAGTGCACGTGCACAGTCCAGTCTACATCACGATGGAATCTTTAGATCACCGTGTTTGAAGAATGTTTGATATTTAATTGTGAAAACTTTCCTAATAAACTATTCCTTAGTGAATATGAGAATAATGTAACGAAAACATAAGCATTTACGAAATGCTATGTCAACAAATTATTCATGCTGTTGTAAATATATATAGGTTATGAATATGTTATGAAGTAATTAGGTGCCATTTTATAAAGGTTACTATGTAGACGATAATCAATGGCAACTTGTGATATTGGGTTGGTGCTGCCACATATATAGTTTACAGGTTAACATTCATGTCAGATCACCTTGTGTGGCCTCACATTCTTATGGGTCACTGTTGATAGCTGCACTAATGGGTCAATCAGGGTCTTCTCACAAGCAGTGATATACAGTACTATAGTGGCCTATTGCTCTTGTCAAATGTGCCGAGGATGATCAATCACAAAGGGTGTCAATAAACAAGGCACCACAATGGCCTTAAAATCAAGAATCACATTAGAAGTAGAGTAGAAAATAGCATTACCCTTAGAACAATTTACCTATCATCTATTTGATTCTCTGAAATCTCTTTTATGTGCTTGAAGAGAATGCAATCATTTAGAATAGGGAACAGGCAGGCATGACTGTGGATGTGTGGCATTCTCAAAGACAATGACAGATAGAAGAAGAGAAAATAGCAACACAAAAAGTCTAACATGCCTTTACATATCCTGAGAGTGGGTACAGGAATTTTTATGTTTCTATATGTTTTCCACTGTGGCATGGGAGTTAAAATCCCCTTAATTAGTTGTTCTGCCAGTTACCCTCGCCCCCCCCCCCCCGAACAACTTTTCAAGAAATACAAACACAAGAGGTTAAGCTTGTGATTCATCAAAGCAAAATTAATAAAGAGTCTTTTCAGGGTGAGATGAAGCCACAAAATGCTCGCTGCCAATTGCCTATAGTGACAGCAAACATACCAGACTGAGTGAGTCTTGGGTCGGGGCCTTTATCCTGTGCAGCTGTGACAACAGCTGTTGGCTGCAGGTTTGCGGCCTGCCACAGTGTGTTTACCTGGAGATGAATCTGAAAGGCGGCGGGACAGGGAGGACACACAACCAAGGTGAAAGGGAACAAGAGACGGCTGTTTCAGATCTGAGGAGAGTAGTTTTGCACTAGCTGGCTCGACCATCGTGCTCTCTGCACACACACAGGGCCCGAGACCCGGAAGAGTGCAGGATCTCAAACAATACACTCCTTTTCATATTGAAAGCATATTGTGGGTTGAAATGGAAGACAGTTTAGATTTCACAGGATCCATTGGCATGTAATTCAGCGTTCCAGGTCCTTGTCATGCAAAAAGGCTAGATGCAGAATAAATTATTAGCCTACCGAAAGACAATTCTTTTTTTTATCTTCTTCTGGTGTGTATGAATCGAATGTAGATGGTTTTATTTCAACAGTTGAGATATGCATGTTTGTGTATTCTACTGTATTCTGTGATAGTAATTGATAATATTTAATTACAGTTAACCTTTCTTCTGAAACGTATTATAGCTGATGGCTTTGTGCACCTTTTCCCATCAGCCTGATGACTCTTGGCTTGGACATTACATTGATTTGTTTTATCCCTTCATGTGAATAAGGGAAATATAAAACATGACAGCACACAAACACTTCCATCTATCCCAGAGACATCAAGCTACCTCCCATTGTCCTCTGACTTTCATGATGCAATTTGTGGTGTTAACTGAAAAACAGTGTGGGCCTTCGTCAGTAAAACCAGCGAGAGCTTCACTGATGTCATTCTCAGCTCCATGACAAAGCTCCCTGCCGGCAAACAACATAAGTGTCCAATCTGTGTTTGTCAACAAGAGAATGCCCCTTCCAGATCCTAATAAATTGTCTCCTTTACAGGCGCTGACAGCTAACAGGCTAACCACAGTGGAGGCCAATGGCATGGCCACTCCTCAGCCTGCATCCCAAATGGCTCCCTATTCCTTATATAGTCCACTAACTTGGACTAGGGACCATACAATTCTGGTCAAAAGTAGTGCACAATTTAGGGAATAGGGTGCCATTTGGGACGTAGCCTCAGATTACCACCTCATCAGCCTCCTGCAGCTCTGGACAAACATGGCCCTTCTCCACATGAAGCACAATGAGGCAGGGTGAGAAACAGCCGCCCGGCAGGGGAGCCACCACTCCTCCCCAGAACTTCCTGGGCCTTCCCAGCTGACCCGTCTGGGCCTTCCCCTCAGCAGTAGCAGCCAGCTGCCTTCCTGGCTAGGCAGGCCACCCCAACAGCCAGCCAGATGTGTGTATCACAGGTGAGCAAATATTGTCACTTAGTTAAGACTTCTGTGTTCCCCTCCTACAGAGGCTGCTGTGTATTCCATGGGTCTGCAGGAAGTGCAAGTAGCACTGTGAAGTTCCCTGGAATGAGAAGTTAGAAGATGCACAGCGACAGCGGGGGGGGGGGGGGGGGGGGGGGGGGGGGGTAGCTAATTAAACTGAGGGATGCCAACCTCAATCCTCTATCGTTAACTGGGTACGAAAGTTAATGATAGGGTGTGTCCCAAATGGCACCCTGTTCTCTAAATAGTCTACTAATTTTGACCAGGGCCCATAGGGCTCTAGACAATAGTAGTGGACTAATAGTCCCCTGTAGCTCAGTTGGTAGAGCATGGCGCTTGCAATGCCAGGGTTGTGGGTTCGTTTCCCACGGGGGGCCAGTATGAAAAATGTATGCACTCACTAACTGTAAGTCGCTCTGGATAAGAGCGTCTGCTAAATGACTAAAATGTAAAATGTTTCATTCTTCATCCTCACAATTCCTGATCACCACAGCCAGGATCATTCTAAAATCACATGCTTGGTAAACAACAGGTGCAGACTAACAGTGAGATGCTTACGGGCCCTTCCCAACAATGCAGAGAGAAAAAATGAGAAAAAAATATAAAAATAATAAAGAACAAATCCACAATCAGTAACGATAACTTGGCTATGTACACAGGGTACCGGTACCGAGTCGATATGCAGGGTTACGTGATAATTTAAGTTGATATTTACATACACTACCGGTCAAAAGTTTTAGAACACCTGCTCTTTCAAGGGTTTTTCTTTATTTTTTTAACTATTTTCTACATTGTAGAATAATAGTGAAGACATCAAAACTATGAAATAACACATATGGAATCATGTAATAACCAAAAAAGTGTTAAACAAATCAAAATATATTTTATATTTGAGATTCTTCAAATAGCCACCCTTTGCCTTGATGACAGCTTTGCACACTCTTGGCATTCTCTCAACCAGCTTCATGAGGTAGTCACCTGGAATGCATTTCAATTAACTGGTGTGGCTTGTTAAATGTTAATTTGTGGAATTTCTTTCCTTCTTAATGCGTTTGAGCCAATCAGTTGTGTTGTGACAAGGTAGGGGGGGTATACAGAAGAAAGCCCTATTTGGTAAAAGACAAAATAAGCAAAGAGAAACGA